CCGCCCCCCCCCCCCCCCGCCCGCTCAGTCCGGGTACCTGCTGCTTCGCTGCGGGCGGCCGGCGGTCACGGTCCTCCCGGGCACACGGGGACTCTGGAGCTGCTGGGCACCGCGCCTCTGCTCTCCGGGCTCCCAAACGTGACTCTATATATCCTGCTCCGCGCTGGGTGTGGGGCGGAGGAGCGCACCTCCCTCCGACCTTCCTGGTGGTTGCTGGGCGCCCAGTCGAGGCCTCTGCCCGGGGCGGGAGCGCGCAGGCCCCAGGACGGCATCGCCCGGGCTCCGGGTGGTCCCCGCTGCTGTGCATTGTTGGGTGAGGGGAAAGTGAGCCGGGAGGGCGCCCTGTCGGGAAAGGCAGAGGCGGGAGGGAGGGGGAGGGAGGGAGAGAGAGAGTCTGAGGCGATTCACTGCAGTAGCGATCCTTCCCTTTGCACCAGCAAAGCGCGTTCCAGGTCCCATTTCTCCATCTCCGCAGCCGCGCAGGGTGGGTGGAGGCCGCGGGGACCCGCCGGCTCGGGGAAGCCCAGGGGTGGCAGGCGTGTGGAGGGGGCGGGCGGGGCAGGGAGGCTGGGCATGCTTCCTCCTTCCGGGGGTCTGGGGCTGGGAGAGCCGAACCTGGCTCTGCACGCTTGCTTTCTGGTGGGCAGGGATCCCACGCGCCAGGCCCTGGGGGAGGCAGGTAGACCAGTCCCTGGCCCCTCCCCAAAAAGGCCTTCTTTCCTCTCCTGGTAGCTTTGACAGTTTTTATTTATATTTGGTTTTTCATAAATTTTAGGCAGAAATTCAGCAGCCGAGTCATAGAGTGATGGACAGGCAGGAGAGCACAACTCCCCCTCGAGCTGAGAGAGGAAAAGCGACCAACGCCCAGCGCTGTGCTCTTCATGGTGTGGAAGGTCGTCTTCCAAATTTACAGCCAGTTAAGGGAAATGGGAAGGACGCCACTCCAAAGTCAGCCTCTTCTCATTAGGACAGCCGGTAGATACTCAAAGACGCCGATTTTGAATCATGAAAAGTCGAGATTAATGAAATAAGCTACTTTAAATCAGAAAGATTGAAAAATTCACACTTCCCTTGAGTTGTCTGCCTCTGGACTCAGAATAATTAAGTATGAGGAGGAAAGTGTGACCCGGAGATAGCGGCAGTTTTGCTTAGGTGATTGTGTGAAAACAAGAGAAAAAAATGAGTAGTACCAGACAGACACGCAGTTAAACACGCCACGCATGCGCACACGCACACACACACACACACACACACACACACACACACACGTCAATTAAAATACTTGAATGTGTCTTCAGCCCCAAATTCTGTGAGTGGACTTGAAATGACCCAGGAAAACGATGGTAACAAGGTGTGGAAATCTTTCACCTGTAACCCTGGCTCTTTAGTACGCTGGCTTGGGCCAGGAAGGTGGCAAGTTCAAGGCTTGCCTGGGCTACCTGGAGAGCTCAAGGACAGCCTGGCTAAAAATGTGAAGATCCCATCTCAAGAAGAAGAAGAAGAAAAAAAAAAAAAGGGCTGAGAATGCAGTTCAGGGGTAGAGGAAGCTCTTCTACCACACTCTGGCTTTGACCCGAGTGATGCAAGATAAACACAAAATGCAAAAATTGCTGGTCACACAGGTAACTTAAGGGAAACTGTCACTTTTTCGAAAGCAATTTAGCAGCACACTTCCTTTTTATTTTCAAATCCCTTTGACCAAGGAGTTCTCGTTATTAGGGCATATCCAAACGAATGCGCAAACTGAGAAAGGTGTGGAGGGTTAATTGCTCGTTATAGGTATTTGTAAAGTAGGAAATTAGGAGGCCGCTTTCTGAGGAGTGCTCACAGGCGAATGCAACATTACTGCAAAATAAAAACAATAGATGTTGTCATGCCACTTGTACTCACACACACGGTGGGCTGTGCGTGTGTGTGCAAGCTGGGCGGCTCCCACCACGGACGTCAGGCGGCAGGGCTGCGGTCCAGGGGTCTGCAGGGCTGCGGTCCCGGTCTGCAGGGCTGATTCCTCATGGGGCTTGAGGGAGAGCCGATTCTGCAATTCTCTCATACTCGTGGTGGTCTCCCTGCCATCTCTGGTGGTTCTGGGGTGCAGAGGTATAAAGCCATGTGTTAGTTAGGAATCTCTAGGACAGAACTGAGAGAGAGAGAGAGAGAGAGAGGATGCACACACACACACACACACACACACTCTCACACATACTCATGCACACACTCACACATGACCTCTTACAGGGGCTCATAGGCTGGGCTCTGGTTGTCACTTGTTGGAAAGGCCAAGCATCTGGTAGAGGTTCAGTCCACAAGGCTGGGCGCCTCAACAGCCCCAGTCGGTGCTGGAGCCCCAGAGGATTCCTGCAGAGATGCTGGTCTTCAGTCTGTCTTGGATCCTGAAGAAGCAGGTTCTAACGCCAGTGCAGGATGGCTCACAGCAGGATGGGTGAATGTACTACCAAGAGTGAGGGCAAGCAGGGAGGAGGCCCAGAGCTCTCTTCCTCCATGTCTCCGTATGCGAGCTGACACCAGAAAGTGGGGTCTTCCCTGTCAAGAGCAATCCCTTACAGGTGTGTCCAACTACTTGAACTTTGCTTTATTCCAGACGTCGTCTGGTTGACACCAGAGTAGCCACCACAGCCAGATCTGCCCTCATCCTCACGTGCCCCTCTGGGTGTGCCCAGGTCTGCAGCCTCACACTGCTCCTTATGGGTGGTGATGAGTTTTAGCTCACTCACCCCAGTGTCTTGGTATGAACAACAACACCTGCAAGGACCCTGTTGCAGAGAAAGCAGTTTTGGAGTGCTGGGGTTAGGGCTTCCCCTCGTGATACGTGGGAAGGAGGTGAAGTGGGATGGATGGAAGGGCCCCTGGTCTTGCAAATTCAGAGCTTGAGAGGGAGGCTCTTCCGGGTGGGTTCGGGTCCTGCAGCAGGACCATCCTGAGCCACTCAGGGAGACTCCCAGCCGAATGGCAAATCATCGTACAATAGCAAGTCCGGGGGAAGTCAGACATCCACCACCAGGATGATGAGTAAACCCCAGACATTAACATGACGTGGACCCCAAAGACAGTGCCAAGAAATGCAAATGGCTGCGGAAGCTGAAAGAGCCGGGGTGGGGGAGAGGCCTTCCTACAGCTTCTCAAGCAGCCTGGTGCTCCACCCACCGAGTCTCATAAAGTCCGGGAAAGTGAGAGAATGAGTTCTGTTGCTTAAGCCATTCACGCTTTGATCCGTCCCAGGAAATGAATCCGTGTACCTTTCCTGGGCACAGTCCTATGTGTCAGCTTTTTATTTTTACAGGGAGTTGTATGGTTCGCTAGCTTTATCTGTCCTGTATTGATCAGTTATTTTCTTTGAGGTTCCTTACATCCTCTCCCTTCCAACCCCCTAACCCTAGGTAGGGAGAGAAGGATAGTGGGGAGAGGGGGTGCAGACTCTTTCACTTCTCCTGGTTGTTTAGGGTCAATGGGTTCTTTTGGGGTTAAACCAGTCTCTATCAAAGCAGATGCAACAGCGGATTCCTCTGTGTGTCACCTCAAAGCCGCTGTGCCACAAATCGTCTCTCCTGTGTCTTTCCAACCGCCTCACTGTCAGTCTCTGGTCTCTCCAAACTGCCACAGGCCACCTCGGCAAGCCACCACTGCGTGTCATGCCTTCTCTCTTTCCAGGCTCTCACATTCATAGCCTCAGAGCCCTAGGCCACGCCCCTCCCCGAGCTGCAGAGGCAGGCCTTCAGCAGCTGTCAAAGACCACGCCCCCGATTATCAGCTGCCGGCAAACTAGAGCCTAAAGTTAAAATCCCACACTTGGGATTAAAACAAAAACAGTTTAGATAACATAACTGAGTTTTCAAAGAAACCAAACTTTATTGCAATTAATTTTCTTCTTTGACAGTTTCTGACTACTCTCTCCCGACTTTTTTCTTCCTCCCATTGCTCTCAACCCTCCCCTTTCTAATCCCTCTCTGCCCTTCTTCAGATTCCTGCTTGTGGGGTTGTGTTGTGACCCTTTAGTTTGGCCCAGGCCGTCTGAGTGAACACTTGGATCCTGGGGCCGGGACAAGAGGGTTCACAACTGGAAGCAGTGATCCTCCCTCCCCCACCTCTCTGTGAACCTATCACTCGTCAATCGCTCAGCCATGAGGGCTTCCCCTTCGAACTCTCCCTCATCCATGTCAGGCCTTTCCTGGTGAAGACGCAGTGCAGGCTGTGTGAGAACTCTTAGCTTCCGTGAGAACTGTCCTAGGATTCTCAGTCTGCTTTCGAAGGGCTGAGCAGACATATGCTAAGAGTGTCCTGTTCTTGCAAAACACCTTCTTCAACAGCTAAGCCAGAAGCAAAATGCCGGCCTGGGCAGTGGGCTCCATGGCTCTGGGTGCTCTCAACACAAACTCACCTTCACAGAGGCTTGACAAGACGACATGCAGACCTGAGCCTCGTACCCTGTTGCTCTTGGCCAGCACTGAGAAACAGTTTATCATACTGACCAATCTCTACCTTCAAAACTCCTCCACCCCCGTTGCTTGACAGCTTACTGTTTTGTACAACCCTGTAAAACAAGTATTTCTTTGTAAATCTACCCTGGGGTTCTTGTTTACAATACAGAATACCTACAGGATGTTCCAGACATAAACTCGTATGGCAGATCGCTCGCCAACACCCTGAGCTCTGAGTGAAACCAGAGCTCCACAGGAATCTCACTCGCTGGTCCTGTCTCAGTGTCCGTTGATGTTATCACAGGACAGCTGATCTTTATCTACCCAGAACCATAAAAATACAGTGTTTAACAACCAGAAAGCTGGTGACTTACGCCTACAATCTCATTTCACAGCGGGAGGACTGGACTTTACTTCCTGTTCAAGGTGACTGTGTTAGTTCTCTGTTCCTAAACCAACACTTAGTTAAACAAACAGTGGTGTGTAAGAAGTGCCCCGGTGCCTGTCAGAGGCTGGCCGGAAGCGCTCCAGGCAGAAGGAGCCCGTAACTGGAGTCCTCGCTCCCGGCAGCCAATCTCCGCTCCAGCTCATCAGCGGCTTCTTTGGCAGCCCCTTCCCCAGCTAGTGGTAGGCAGAATGTACAGCTAGCTCTTGTAGGCTTTTCTAGGACCCAGGTCTTCATCTTGTTGCTGGCTATTGACCAAGGCTATTGACCAAGGCTATTGACCAAGGCTATTGACCAGGAGCCCTGCTCACTCAAAAGGACAACAGTCTCTTAGAGAAACTCACATCTACTGATTTGGAAAGCTGATGGTCGGTGTCCTTGATGTTCACAGTTGCACCCCCACTCCAGGTTGGGGGATTGTGCAGGGATGGTGAGGCTGGGCCACATCAGATCTCTCCTCGCCACAGTCACGTGTGGAGACCAGATGTGGAGCGCAGACGGGCACTGCCGTCTCTCATCAGTGAGTTTCCTTTCTTCTGCATGTGGAAAGTTAGCTTTCAGTATCTAGTCACTTTGTGAAGCAACGAGCTGTGGGAAGGCTTCTTTTCTCC